GCAGGGAGATCACAGGATCTCCCCGGCCGGACCCTGCAGGGCCAGCGCTACCCGAGCGCCAGCCCTGCTGTGTGCCTCCATGGGCCGGTGGGGAGATCAAAGATCTCCCTCACCGGCCCACAGACACTGTTACACGCGGCCGCCGGCTGGGGAGAGAGGACCGGCGGAGCTCTAACCAGCAGCTCCGCCGGGTCCTCTCGCGGGATTCTGAGCGTTGCCGCGGTTACCACGGCAACGCTCAGATCTCGTGAGAGTGAACTCTAGCCTGCAGGTTAGAGTTCACTCTCACCACTGGACCACCAGGGAATGCAGCATGGCTCTCCCATGGCAGAACGGCTCCCCCCCGTCCCAGGCAAAACGGTTCCCCCCCCTCCCAGGCTAAAGGTAAGAAGGGAGGGGGGGGATATAACTTTTTTTTATTATATATAAAAATATATTTTTAAATTTAAATAAGCACTCACACACAGCACACACACAGCACCCTCAGACACACACAGCACCCAGACACACACAGTACCCTCAGACACACAACACCCTCAGACACACACAACACCCTCAGACACAACCGGCACCCTCAGACACACACAACACCCTCAGACACACAACACCCTCAGACACACACAGCACACACACAACACCCTCAGACACACACAGCACCCTCAGACACACACAGCACCCTCAGACACACACAGCACCCTCAGACACACACAGCACTCAGACACACACAGCACCCTCAGACACACACAGCACCCTCAGACACACACAACACCCTCAGACACACAACACCCTCAGACACACACAGCACCCTCAGACACACACAGCACAGCACCCTCAGACACACACAGCACCCTCAGACACACACAGCACCCTCAGACACACACAGCTCCCTCAGACACACACAGCTCCCTCAGACACACGCAGCACCCAGACACACACGCAGCACCCAGACACACACGCAGCACCCAGACACACACGCAGCACCCAGACACACACGCAGCACCCAGACACACGCAGCACCCTCAGACACACAGCACCCTCAGACACACACAGCACCCTCAGACACACACGCAGCACCCAGACACACACGCAGCACCCAGACACACGCAGCACCCTCAGACACACACAGCACCCTCAGACACACACAGCACCCCAGGCACACACAGCACCCAGACACACAGCACCCTCAGACACACACAGCACCCAGACACACACAGCACCCAGACACACAGCACCCTCAGACACACAGCACCCAGACACACACAGCACCCAGACACACACAGCCCCAGACACACACAGCACCCAGACACACCACGCAGCACTCAGACACACACAGCACCCAGACACACACACAGCACCCAGACACACACAGCACCCTCAGACACACAGCACCCTCAGACACACAGCACCCTCAGACACACACACAGCACCTCAGACACACAGCCTCAGACACACACACAGCACCCAGACACACACGCAGCACCCAGACACACACAACACCCTCAGACACACACAGCACCCAGACACACACAGCACCCTCAGATACACACAGCACCCTCAGACACACACGCAGCACCCAGACACACACAGCACCCTCAGGCACACACACACAGCACCCTCAGGCACACACACACAGCACCCTCAGACACACACAGTACCCTCAGACAGACACTGCTCCCTCAGAGAGACAGCACCCTCACTCACACAGCACCCACACACAGCACACTCCCACACATATACAGCACACACACACACACACACATATATATATATATATATAATAAATAAAATAACCCTCAGTGAGTTAACAGACAAAAAAAATTAGAAACCTAGAATGTGACGGCAGATAAAAACACATTCACACACAGCACCCCTCTTACACACACACACACACACACTGCGCCCCTCACACATACAATACGTCCAAATATAAATATATATATACACACTACAGCACCCCTCACACTACACACATTATGCTCCAGATACACGCTAGATCCCTTACCCTATATGCACTCTTAATCCTCTACACACAAACACACACACATGCAATCTCCTATACACACTCTGAGTCCTTTACACACTAGATCTCCTACACACACACTGCCCCTAGCCACACATATTACACCACAAACACAAATGAAATTGACCTATTTACACAAAACCACACCACACTCTACACACACGCAATCCCACAAGCAGGCTCCAAACACATGCACCATACGCTTTCCTGGCCCTTTTGTCCTCTGGTATCCCACTTGTGGAGACACTAGAGACAATTTAAAAGCAAACACAGTGCAAGCATGTTATTAAATTTGCTTGCGCTGCGCAGAACAAATACAGGGCGTTTTTCTAATGCTAGAGCTCTTTAGCAGGGCTCTGCGCATTGAACCAACATGCTCACTTTGAGAGGGGGCGTGTTTGTCTCTAGCCCCGCCCCCTACTTCGGGGGCCGCTCTGATTGAAAAATGCCCGGGCCGAATTTTTTTCCCAGTCCGGCCCTGTAAATGACAATGCTGGTGATAAAAAAATCAGATCTTCTCCCAGCATTAGGTCTCCACTAATGTATGGGGGGGAGAGGCTATAACACTGCTATACTCTACATCTATCCTGTGAGCTGTTGTTAACTGACTACTGTAGTGAATGAGATACTTTGAAGGGGAAAGGAGAGCTTTGGTGGTGACACTCGTGTCCCCTAATGAGTGGTCTGCCACATCTGGTGGCAGCGGTGGGATGGCCCCTTTCCCAAAATCAAATGAGGAGCCCGGAGAAAGCATTGCAAGTCAGCGGGTGGAGAGAAGCTACAAACAGCTTAAAAGATTCACGTTAAAAGACTTGCTAGAAAGCCAGGGACACAGCATCAGTAACCGACCCCAAAAAGTTTTAAAAGCACTACTCAAAGAGCTGGACTGGGCCTGCTCTGCCATGATGGCATCAGCTGCAGCATCGGAGGAAATTGAACATATGCGGAAAATTCAAACTCGCTTAGCACTGTTCGACCCAAGCCCTCCAGCCATAGTGATCCTGAAGGTATTGAACAATGTCAATGCTGCAGCAAAAGCCAAGAGAGAGCACCAAGTCCGGATAGCCAAATTACAGCGAACCAGAACTCCCCTGACCCAGATCACGCTTCACAGCTTGACCGAAAGAAGATACCCTTCACTGCCTTCAAGGCATTTCAGGAGACAGAAGAGGAGAAGAATATTTGCTACCTTAGAGCCAGGGGGAACCTTTGTTAATGTTTGCATAGGAACTCCCGAAAGTTGACTGCCTGATACCTTAGTTTCTCTTGGAAGTTACCCCATATATATATATATATATATATATATATATATTTTTTTTTTTTTTTTTTTAAACATACATGTTGCATTTTTGCTGGGTATTTCGTACATTTGATATGTGCCACTGTCATAAATTCCCACTAAGTATGCTCAGTTACCTCTCCTGAGTAAAACAATAAGCCCAATGTATGACCTAGACACTAATTTGTTACAGTGCTGTAAAAGAGACGTGACAAGTTCAGGTTTATAAGTGTGAATTTACATGGAGGGTTTTAATGGGTCTGTTTTCTATTTTGAAATATGTTAGCAGGCTGCTTTTCCAAATACCCCAAAAAGGCACACCATTTCTTTAAAAAGACACCCTAGGGTATGTGTGCTACAGCAGTATAATACATCATATGTTGCTCAGCTATGTCATCTCAGTACAGCAATATCCCCGCATGTACCTTTACCAGGTATATGACAAGGTTGTAGGGGCACATTTAAGACACAGCCATTTAAGTTTGAATTTTTATGCTGGGTCCATGCCCCACTTTGGAATTTTTTAATCGGTTGTGTTTTCCAGTTACTTCACAAAGGCATAAAATTTCCTAAAGAAGACACCTCAGGGTGTTTCAAAAGGCATGTATTAAACCTTAGATTGGTATAATTTTTTTGCTAGCCTGTACCAAGTGTAGAGGTAATACACATTTTTTCCCTTTTTTTTACTTTTTAAAAGGTTTTTTTAATGTTTAAAGTTTTGTTTTAGCTTTTAACAACTTATTTTACTATTTTAAAACTTTATTTAAACATTTTTTAATTTTCTTTTACTTTTTTTTTACTTTTCACCCTAACTAGCCTAAAAGTAATTTCCCCACTAACATCTACCCACCCTAGCTAAATAAATACATGTTTTACAAATATTTAAGTAACTAACTAAATAAATATAACCTGAGGATTAAAAAAAAAATAAAAAATAAAAAAAAATAAACACTCAGGGGTTAAAAGATAAAAAATCAGATTGCAGTGAAATACTGTGATATGTGTTTTGATCACTGAAGACAGGGATCAAAGGGCAAGGAAGGTGTTACATTTTATTTGTAAGAGGTGAGGGGTGTGTGAATTTGTTACTAACACTTTTTTTTTTTTTACAACCAGAGACAAATCAGCGCTATACTTTCATATTTCCCTAGCCACTGGGGTACAGTAAGCTTGACCGAGAGCTAACACAAGTTGCTCTGGAACTGCCGATCGGATCGTGCAACCACCGCGATCCACAAAAAATTTGAACAGACCGCTCTCAGTCCCAAGACCATATATCAGAGAACTAATTGGAGGGTTTATAGAGGAGAGGGAGAAGCAGGGCCGTCTTTCCGCATGGGAACTGTAAAGGATTCCATATACTCTGACTGAGTACAATCGTTGTGATTCTCTCATTTCCCAAACGAAGGAGTGATTATAGCGATTGGTAACCCAAATATCAGCCTTGACTTGATGAAGTGTACAACAGGATCTGTTTATTGAAGACCAGATGCACAGAACCATCCAGGGGTCTCCATCCACAGTAATGTAAAACATAAGCCCACCCCGGCGTTGCTATGTCTGAGGGATAATGGTATCTCCCAGGCACAGGAAGCCGGCACACAAAAAAGCCACAATACACAGAACACAGTGATGGACCAACTGCACCCTGACCAAGTACCTCCGTCAATCGCTGCTTCCTGAGTACCATAAGCACCATAATCACTGCAAACCCCACAAGCCGTCGCAGCACATTTTAATCAGGCCCGAGTCTGGATGGCTTCTGAAATCTGACGAGATCAGGCACTTTCAGACTGGTATGTCCGCAGGCGAAATTACGCTTCTGTATAGGGAAAAAAGTGATCTGATTATGACATCATAATGCAAAAAAGAAATAAACAAAAGCTCACAGCACCTGAAGTTCCTAGTTGATCTCCCATACAAGTACTAACCAGGTCCAAGTCTGGATGGCTTCTGAGAGCTGATTAAATCAGGCACCGTAAGATTTTTTTAAATCAGGCACCGTAAGATTTTTTTAAATCAGGCACCGTAAGATTTTTTAAATCAGGCGAAATGAAGAGAATGCGATCTTGCTGATGTTGGTAGAATATCAAACACTGGTTGAGACAAAAGACAAGACGCCTCTGGATAGGGAAAAAAGTGATCTAATTATGACATCATAATACAGAAAAGAAATGAACAAAAGCTTACGACACCTGAGGTTTCTAGTTGGTCTCCCATACAAGTACTAACCAGGCCCGAGTCTGGATGGCTTCTGAGATCTCATGATATCAGGCACTTTCAGACTAGTATGGCCGTAGGCAAAATTATGAGAATGCGATCTCGCTGATGTTGGTAGAATATCAAACACTGGTTGAGACAAAAGACAAGACGCTTCTGGATAGGGAAAAAAGTGATCTGATTATGACATCATTATGCAAAAAATAAATAAACAAAATATTATGGCACCTGAGGTTCCTAGTTGGTCTCCCATACAAGTACTAACCAGGCCCAAGCCTGGACGGCTTCTGAGATCTGGCACTTTCAGACTGGTATGGCCATAGGAGAAATTAATAGAATGTGATCTCGCTGATGTTGGTAGAATATCAAACACTGGTTGCGACAAAAGACAAGACGCTTCTGGATAGGGAAAAAAGTGATCTGATTATGACATCATAATGCAAAAAAGAAATAAACAAAAGCTTACGGCACCTGAGGTTCCCCCATACAAGTACTAACCAGGCCCAAGTCTAGATGGATTCTGAGATCTGATGAGATCAGGCACTTTCAGACTGGTATGGCCGTAGGTGAAATTAAGGGAATGCGATCTCGCTGATGTTGGTAGAATAGCAAACGCTGGTTGCGACAAAAGATAATACGCTTCTGGATAGGGAAAAAAAGTGATCTGATTATGATATCAAAATGCAAAAAAGAAATAAACAAATGCTTACGGCACCTGAGGTTCCTAGTTGGTCTCCCATACAAGTACTAACAAAGCACAAGTCTGAATGTATTCAGAGATCTTACGAGATCAGGCACTTTCAGACTGGTATGGCCGTAGTCGAAATTAAACAAATGCGATTTCGCTGATGTTGGTAGAATATCAAACACTGGTTGTGACAAAAAACGCTTCTGGAGAGGAAAAAAAGTGATCTGATTATGATACTGTTGTGGAAATTAATATTAACATAATTTTTAGCTAGTAAAATGTCTATTTAACTATAATCAGCATTATCCAACTCTTATGTGATTAATTAAGATGGCCGCTAGGGAGCTTCCCCTCTAACATCGACTAACTATCTCGTGTAACAAGATGGCGCTGGAATCTGGGGGAGACCCTCATGATACCAGTGACATCACCCCTTGTAGGAAAAGCATTAAAATAACCACTTAACACCTAATCAATTAATGATGTATTATTTCATGTTATCTCTGACAATGCATATAATGTAATTCTGCTTTAAAAGGGACTTGCCGTCCCCTCTGAATAAACATTCCCCAAGTTTTTCATCAACCTGAAACTTGTGTCTGGTGTGAATTACTTCAGGGAGCGTGCACACCCTGTTTCTTTAATTTGGCCAGGGGCAGATACACAAAATAATCAATTGATTGAATTGATTTCCACTTCATTTGGCGCCCAATGTGGGGCCCTGTATTTGCCAGTTCGGAGGGCCGGAAACCAACGGACCGGAGCGGACCTCCGGAAAGTGGGACAACCGGAGGCTGATCACCTCCAAAATACAGCCGTTGCCTGTATTCTCCTGTTTTGTGTCGGTCTGCCTCCACGTCCACTTCTGGCTTCCAGAAGGCTACAAGACAAGTAATCTCTTATCCGGTGCCTCTTTTAACGAACCTGTCGATTTTCTATCTGCCTCTTGAGTGCTCTTATGTTCGTTATGTATGTGTGTGACGGCCGGTGCATGTGTTTTCTTTTTAAACCTTGGCTTGACTGCCTAGCGGGCAGGGGACGCAACAGCCGGTAAGGGGCTGGGAACCACCCAGGTAACAGGATTGGGTTATTGCAGACAGCTGGAGAGAGGCTGGGGACCACCTGGTGGAAGATGGGGTTTTTACTATTAACCTGGTAAAGGGTCGGATTACAGCCTAGAGTGAGAGACTGGGATTGTTATTATTTGCCGTTTGATGCTCTCTGTTTTAATATGTACATGGCCATATTATTCTCTGTCATTCTGTGGATTCTGTTCAATTGTTGCTACAGTGTGGGTACCCTCGGTGTGTGTGTGTGTGTTGTGTGGCTCATCCTTGATTCTGAGGTTTACACTCATCTCTATGTGTGTGATTTTTGTAAATGCCTTTTGCTTAGCGTTGCCACGTTTATCTTTTCCTTTGTTATCTATCTTTCCTGTGTCTGTTGCCCAGAGCTGTGTTAGTCACCCACGCTCGCCCGCTCTGGTCCGTGGCCACCATCTCGGGTGGGCGGACCCCTGTGACTAGTCTACGTTTAGGAAAGACGCACGGGACTCAGGTCCTCGTGGCAGTCGAGCACTGTAGACTTTCCTCTTTCTTCTTCTCCCTCCCCCTGTCACTGTCACGTGGAACCCTTTGTTTGGTAAAGATGGGGCAGGAACATGCTAGACCTGCTAAGGGATTTTTGGCTTGTGATATTGTAAGAGAAAGAGCAGGAGAAGAAGCTATGTTGAAAATTAAGAAAATAGCTAAGATTTGTGGTTTCCAAATGTCGCCCAGTGGTAGGTTACAACCAGAATTTTGGAGGAAACTGCTTGTTGATAAGGAGGGTTTATTGCTGGATAACGGGTTGACGAAAGCCGTAGAGGCTTGGTATCGGGTCGCTAGAGGTCTCAAACGGGAGGGCTGGACAGAGGAAGAGTTAGACTTTGAGGGGCAGATGATTTATGTGTATCACCGAAATGTTTGCAATGATGATGTTCCCCTCACTGTTTCCCGACCACCGCCCTATGATGGCGCCCAGAACATATTGAATAACTCCAGTCCAGCTTCCCCAGTTAACGCCCAGACACCACCTCCTTGTGGTGTAGGACAAGTCCCCACCCCCTTGTGTCCCGTGCTTGGAGCTGATGGAGCCTACCCAGTACCGCTACATTCCTTTCCTCACACTCCTACACCCCAGCCGTCCATCCAGCTCCCCATTGCCCCCGACCAGGTCCCGCCATCACCTCTCCTCCCAGCCCTCTCTGATGCCCCTTCGCCTCCTCTACCTCCTTGTCCCCCGCCCCTTCCACTGTTTCCACCTATTCCTAGTGTTCCCCTTTCAGTCCCTCCTTCCCCCGTCCCCGATCCCATCCCATTAACTCCTGCCCCACCCTCTGATTTTACTGCTACCAATGTTTCGCCTCTCCCCTCTGCTACTTCTACCACCCTGGCCTGTTCATCTCCTACTACCCCTGCTGACCTGTTATCCTCCCTCCTCTCTGCTATTTCCGCCACTCTTGGACATCCCCATCACCCTACTCTGCCTCCTGCACTCCCTGATGTCCCTTCCGTTCCTGATTCTCCTCCTACTTCTTCTAACCCTCCTCCCTCTGACCTGTCATCTCTTCTCTCTGCCCTCTCAGCCTTAGCTCGTCCAGCTACCCCTACTCCTCCCACTACATCTTCCGACCCTCCTTCTCCTTCTCCTCCTCTTCCTCCCACTGACCTGTCATCTCTTCTCTCTGCCCTCTCAGCCTTAGCTCGACCCACTATCCCTACTCCTCCCACTACATCTTTCGACCCTCCTTCTCCTTCTCCTCCTCCTCCTCCCACTGACCTGTCATCTCTTCTCTCTGCCCTCTCAGCCTTAACCTGTCCTGTTACACCTACTCCTCCCACTACATCATCTGACCCTCCTTCTCCTCCTCCTCCTCCCGCCGACCTGTCATTTCTTCTCTCTGCCCTCTCAGCCTACCCTCATTCTGCTACTCCTGCTCCTCCCACTACGTCTTCTGACCCACCTCCGACTTCTTCTAACCCTCCTCCCACCGACCTGTCTTCATTACTCTCCACCCTCTCCGTCTTTAAGTCCCAACCCTCTATCCCTGCCTCCCCTACTCCATCTTCCTCACTCCATATGCCCCTGGTTCCTCTGACCCGTTATCTGCCCTCGCCCTTGCCCTATCTGCCCACCTGTCACGCCCAACCCAGCCTGCCCCTACCCTTGCCTCCTCTATGGCCCTGGTCCTGTACACCCCTGATGCCAGTCCCAGTTATCCGCTCATGGTGGTCGGTTCTGATGAGTTTGCCACTTTGGGCCAACCCTATGCTATGGGTGTCTCTCCGGCAGCCTCAGGCTTCCATCCTACTATGTCACAATATTGTCACTGGTCTCAAGACCCCTGTCAATCCGGCCGATCCAGCTCCGGCTTCCCTCGATGTTGCCTCCTATCATGGCCTCCCGATCCCCGTTGCTCCCGGGTATGGCGATGTACAAGGGCATGGCCTATTCCGCCCTCAGGATAACAGACCCTCACAGAGACAGGCCGCCTCTGGAGTGCACCTCCAGGTATCCCCCGTTACCGAAGGTGCTCCACCTATGTATGTTCAACCCCTCACAAGCTGCCACCTTGGTCACTTCCCTCCCTGATCCAGAGAAGCAGCCCATGCCCTTCTTCCGCAGAATGGCTCAAATCCGTAAGACGTACTCTGCTGCTTGGCGGGATCTTTATAGTCTGTGTGAAATTAAAGCTGGTGATGCCTATTGGCCAATAATGGCGAGGAGTTTCAATGATGCTCCCCTATCTACTGACACGGATTTCCAGTCAGGTATTACCTTTTGTGAACAACTCCGTTCCTGGGCCCAAGACAAATTGGCCGACCAAGCCACTTGTATAAACGATATCATTCAGGACAAACTTGAGTCTGTTGAGAAATACCATTCACGATTAACCCAAACCTTTTCCGATCTAGGGTTTAGTACATACAATAAAGCGCACACCCAGATGTTGTCTGCCACCTTTTGTTTGAGAGAACACATTTGTAAGGGTTTAATCCTCTCTCGCCCTGAATATAGAATAATACCTCTGGATATCCTTTTGTTGGTAGCTAAAGGTTTAGAATCAGTGTCTCAGGTTTAGAATCAGTGCCTGTACAGAGAAGAGCTAACCCTCTGATGCTTATCGCCCCGGCTCCTGCCACTGCGGCCAGAACCTGTTATAATTGCCAACAGGTTGGCCACTTCCGAAGAGATTGTCCCCATCCAAGGTTAAATAGGCCACTGCTCCCCTGGTATTCTATTCCTACAGTTGCTGCCTATGGATATCTCCCTCCAGGGTATTTTCAGCCACCACCTCCTCCCCCAGTTCCATACGTCCTGCCTCCTGAATATTCCCAAGCTCCCCTGCCTCCCCCAGATGCTCGCACTTATCCTTCAGCTCCTGCTGACGGATTTGATTTGGATGGTTTTCAGGAGGATCGCCCCAGAACTAGACAAAGCCGTACTGCTCGCCCTGCAAGTCTCCCTACTACCTCTGCACGTCACTACACCGGCCCTGACCAGGCTCATTTAGATTTATTACAATAGGTAACCGGCAAGCCTGTGTCTGATACCCCTGCCATGGCAGTGTCTACAGGGGATGGGGGAGGGCCTCTCGCTACAGTTGTCCTGTCCGTTGAGGGACATCCCACTACCTTCTTAGTTGACACAGGTGCAGCCCGCATGTTCTTAGAGAACAAGAACTGCCAGACCCATCCTACCTGTCAGACACCGGTGTATCCTGTGTAGGTGTTGACTGTACTCCCCGCAGCAATCCACTAACTAAGCTCCTACGTGTGGGTTCTGATATCCTTTCACGATTAGTTGTTTCCTCTACCTGTCCCATTAACCTTTTGGGTGCTGATGTACTGTCCCATCTTCAGGCCTCAATTACTTTCACTGCAGATGGTCAGGTCCAATTGCTCACACCCCTGTCACGAAAAGACACTTCTGTCCTCTGTTCCCTATCCCTATTACTACATCTCACATCTCCCGCAGGGGAAACAAGGGTCACAGATGCCCCCAGTGCTCTGGACAGAATCTCTGCTAAACTCTGGTCTACGGGTCCGGATGACATAGGCCGTCTACGTGTACCACCAGTTGTGGTTACCCT